CAATGAAGACCATTCTAAGTGACAGTGGCCTTAGGCAGGAGAGTTAACTCAGAAAAGTCTTGTGGGGTCGCACGCTTGCCCGACAATCTAGGAGATGTCTGGACTTAGGCAACTAGTGGAGAAACTACGGGAGAAACTGCTTGACTAACAATTGTCTGCAACTAACCGCATGGACCTAGCTCTCAAAACCATTGCTGCCTCCTCTTCCAAGCCTCCCTCTTCCAGTTCCCCCCTAGGATCCCCTTAGTGGCCAGTTATCTTTTGCTCTAATAATTTTGTGGCTGTTGTTTCTCTTTTTGTTTGTCTTTTTGTGATGGCATGTTGAATTTCATCGTTGTTGCTCCTGTTGAAATAGTCAAATTTTCTATCAATAAAACAGCTCTTCTTTTGCTTGTACAATGCTTGTTTTCCCTTTTGCTTCTCTTTTCTATCATGATTATGTGCACATATGTGGCATGAGTTAGCCTTGTTGGACTTTTTTATGCCTTTTTGTCTGATTGTGTCTTTTTGTTGATGCCAAAAGGGGGAAGAATAGAATCAGGGGAACATATGTCAGGGGGAAGAATAGAGTCAAGGGGATCATATGCAGTTGCAGGTACCTTATCTGGTTAAGTCAAATAGTCATCAATGTTCAAAGTTTGTCATCATCAAAAAGGGGAAAATTGAAATTGATGAGCTTAAGGTCTTTTAAGCTATGTTTTGATGATCTAACAAACTTTCTGTATGGAACCAGATAAAAGACCAAGAATGATAGTAAAGTGTCAGGGGGAACATATGGGAAACATGTGTAAGTAAGGGCATAAAGTCAGGGGGAACCTGTGGTCTCCTGATATTCAATCTGGTTCTCTGAACTCTAACTCCTTGTTTTCAATGCTAAGTTTGTCATCATCAAAAAGGGGGAAATTGATAGGATCGATAGGTTTTCAATATCTTTGCCTTGTGTTTTGATGATCTAACAAACTTAATGTAAAGAACCAAATAGGGAACCTGACTCACTTGGATTACACTACATCTAACGGATTCCAGCCAAATGTGAACTTGCTACAGTTTCAGGAGGTAGGAACCCAGACAAGGACCTGATACTCTTATGGGTTCCTCACGGCAGTACAAAGTCAATTGGACACAGCTGGAAACGAAGATTATGCCGCACTGCACTGTTTCCAGTGCCCACTCATTCTCTGACCAACTCAAGTGCTCACATCACTTCAAGTGATCATACTCAAGGTGTACCAACAATGAGTCTATACAAAGCATCATTCAAGTTACTCAACTCAAGACAATCTGGGCGGTTGCACAAGAACCAGATCAGGAACCTGATCCCTTGGTACTTCTCTGACAGAAGTCCAAGTCAACTATACAGCTAGAACACAACTGAGTGACTGATCGCAACAGTACAAAGAGGAACACAACAGGGACCTGGTCCCTTAGGGTTCTCTAACAGAAGTACAAGTCAACTACTGCTAGAAAGCAATTGCAGAAAGTGACTGACTGCAACAGACAGTGCAGCAGACAGTGCAAGAGTCACTTCCCATTGAGATTGGACATCACTAAGGATATCTTGTGTAGTATAAACCTTATGCAAGACACAAGTTTCAGGTTCCAACGCTTGCAAACTCAAAAAAGTAAAATATTCTCTCAAGTGTTCAAGAACCTCTCTCAAGAAAAAAGCTGTTGCAACCTCAAGGACCTGATCCAAGATCGAAGATATTTTAAGTCCTTAGGTTTGTAGAGTCTTTGTAATTTGTTCTTCATTTTAACTCCTATCCAGCTTTCTTAGAAGCATTGATTAGGTTGAGTCATAAGAAAAATCCTTTGTATTTGGCTCGGGAACCCAAAACACTAGATGAAGCTATGAGGTTGGCCCGTTTGTATGAAGAAAAACTTGGGCTGCACTCTGGCCCAATTAAACCATCTTTTGCCCGAACCCAAACACTACTACCTAACCCTAGACCCAATTTGAAATATTCTTCACCAGTAACTTCGAACTCTCCATTCCCGACCAAAATTCCCTTTAAGTGTCTCTCAACGGCGGAACTGCAACAACGCCGAGAGAAAGGATTGTGATATCATTGTGACGAGAAGTATACGACCAACCATAAATGCAAATCATTTCCCCAATTGTTGCTTCTTGAATATGACACTACGACAGGTTAATCCATCCCAGACCAATTCTCACCCTCTGATTATGTCATAGAGGATAGTCATCATATCGATGATCATCCCCATTCCACCATCATCATGGAGTTAAGGGATTCTATTTCAACTCTGCCCCTCGCCCATAAGATCCTCACTAAAAAATGAAAAAACTAACTACATCTAGTTCAAATAAAACCCTTGGAAAAGAACCATGGTTTAAAGAAAAACCAAGGGGGAGTTGATACACTACTACAAAAGAAAAATCTTTTTGGTTTTTTCTTGTTCGACTTTAGTCCCTCAAGAAACCACTCGAGTGGTATCCATTGTTGGGCCAAGTCGAAGTTAATTTATCAAAAGAAACTACAAAACCAACTATATACATATACAACAACATACAACAACATCCCCCACCACACACTTAAAAAATTGGCATGTCCCCATGTCAAATAAATTAAAGCAAGGTAAGGTAAGGTGACTTCCCTGGTGACTCAGTCCTGGTCGGAGACAGTGCCAAGGTCAAGGTGGCAAGCTCGTCCTAGCGCTCGCAGCCAACCCATGATATTTTTTTTGGACTTCTCACTTAGAGTATCTAGAGCATCAACTCTAGTACCCAGGTCTATGACCGAAGTGCACAGCCCTGCCATTTCCTGCTCCAGAGATGTCAGGCGAGTACTCCGGCGGGCTTGAGATGGACCTGCCTCATCTGGGACCTGCACCTGTGGGGGTGAGGCATGCATAGCCTCCTCCTGACCGTCATCATCATCCTCAGACTCATCCAAGGCATCATTGTGATCAGCTCCAGCTGCCACCGGGTCCTTCCCGACTTTGCTTGCCCGGAACATGGCCACCTTTGGCACGTCCCATCTGTATTGGGGTTCTCGAGAACCCTCTCCACTCTGCACAATCTGGACAATAGATGGAAAGTAAAATCCATATCTCTTCTCGAGTGAGCGGATGAACATCTCCGCCTGGATAAGCTGGTCCACATCAAAATCTCGGGAATTCACAAAGCACCAAATCGATGTCGCCTGAGGTCCATTTACATCCGTGGTGTTGTGAGATGGCAGCAAACGACTGTTGATTATGTAAATCCAGCACTTAGCCTCAAAAGTGAGGGATGATGAATTCAATACGCTCCCAGGCGTAACCCATACTACCTCCTTGCCCGACACACAAATGGTTTGGAAGAATAAATTCCAAGTGACGGGCTTTTGCTTGTATGTCTCATAAAAATCCTCAAACCCATTGAAAACCGGCAACCGGTACACTCGTCTGATGGCATCGAGTGAAGCATCCACCCTTGTTTGTCGCACTATGTAAATCCGATCCTCATGTTCAGGACAATTGACATAAAATTCCCGCACAAGCATCATGTTGCCTTCCTCCGTCTCTTCAAAGAAGATGTCGAACCGGCGCCTCATCAATTCCTGATACATGTTTGGGCATTCAACCTGGAGGTCTGCCCTGTCAATGGCTCTCTTGGGCACAGGCTTTTTCGTCGCCTTCTCACTAAACCGGTCTTGAGCTGCTCTTTAAACAAAATTGCGACTATCAAATTGGTTTGTGCTAGCCAGTTCCAGAGCTCTAGATGAACCTCCATGTCCACTGGAAGAGGATCCTGTAGCACGTCTCTTATGTGAGGGATGCATGATACCTGACAAAACAAGTGCCACTATTAGTAGGGGGCAAATTATGTGAACTTGGGGCGGTTACTCAGACTTCACCCGCACCATGGTCACAATTTGCATTTAAAGCTCATTGAGTCAATTTAACAAACACCTAGTGTGCATATGTCTACAAAGTAGACAAAATAACCCCATGGAGTTACCTAGCCTCCCAAATCAAATCTAATGGCCTCACACACCCATCTACACCACAATCCACCTCTAATACAAGAAAGTCATAATTTTTCCTACCCATTATATACACTAGCAAATAAATAGAAGAAAAATTAAAGAGAAAATCATTACAAAAATATGAAAATAAAACTAAAAAGAGAAAAAAAACTAAGAAGGAAGAGAAAAATCATGTACTTACTTGAGATTCTTGAAAAGGATGGATGTTGGATCGTTATTAATGGAGAGAGGATAAAAGGAGGAGAGATTTTAGTGTTGGAGGGGGGAAAGGAAGGGGGGATCGCTGTGTTTAGTTGTGGGGAAGGGGAAGAATTGGAGTTGAAGAGGGGAAAGAAGAATGGGGGAAAGTGGGGAGGGAAATTAGGAAGGGTGGGCATGTAAGGGGATTTAGGTTTTAGGGTAAATTAGAAAAGAATAAAAAAATTAAACGTAAAATCTTACCTGAGTCTGCCCCCATCCGCGCCCAACTCCGCAGTCGCGTTCGCAGATGCTGGGCAGAAAACCTCTTAAACTCCGCGCCGCAGTCCGTGGTCAAATCCGCGGTCATGGACCTGAGGCAGAAGACGTGCCAAAGTCCACGGTCAAGTCTGCGGTCCATTCTGCGGCTGCGGATCCACAACAGTGTTTCGTCCAATCTCTGCATTCCAGTGTGCGGCCGCAAATCACCGTTCCGAACAATTTTTACCTTTTATTCAATTTTACCTCTTCTGGGGTTAACTTTTGACACCGCCTCCTTCCGATGTGAAAAAATGTTTCCATGCCCACTAGTAGTTTGGTAAGTATCGTTCTCCTCAAATACAAAAACAAAAAAAACAAAAGAAGAAAATCATGGGTTGCCTCCAAAGAAGCGGCTTAGTTAATATTGCGGCACGACGTTTACAACAATTGAATGGGTTGCCTCCATGCAGCGCCTGATTTAACGTCGCGGCACGACGTTTACAATAATTGAATGGGTTGCCTCCATGCAGCGCCTGATTTAACGTCGCGGCACGATGCAGATAAGCGCATTTAAGGTTCGCTCGACCTCTGAGGCTCGGTCAAATGGGTAACTGACACTTCCTTTGCTTCATCCATGCCCACATAATGTTTTAACCTGTGCCCATTGACCCTAAACGCGCAAGAGTCATTCTCAGCGGCAATCTCTACAGCACCAGTGGGGTGTACTTCAACCACACAAAATGGCCCTGACCATTGTGACTTTAGTTTACCCAGAAATAGCCTTAGTCTTGAGTTTTAAAGCAATACCGTATCTCCGGGTTTAAAATTCCGCTCAATAATGTTCTTATCATGTAACATCTTCATTCACTCTTTGTACAATCTTGTGCTCTCAAAAGCAAGATAGCAGAACTCATCAAGTTCATGCAACTCCGTGACTCTACTTGTTCCCGCAGCATCCATGTCGAGATTCAACAATTTCAGTGCCCACCAAGCTCTATGCTCCAACTCCACCAGCAAATGGCACGCCTTCCAAAACACCAACTTGTATGGCGACATGCCAATTGGTGTTTTGAAAGCGGTTCTATAAGCCCAGAGTGCATCATCTAACTTTCTCGCCCAGTCTGTTCTTGTGGCATTCACGGTCTTAGTTAACACGCTCTTTATTTCTCTATTTGACACTTCCACTTGCTCACTTGTGTGCGGATGATATGGAGTGGCCACCTTGTGGCATACATCATACTTCTCTAGCAACTTCTCGAAGGCTCGATTATATAAATGATTGCCTCCGTCACTGATTATGGCCCTTGGGGTGCCAAACCGGGTGAATATGTTCTTTTTCAAAAACCCAATCACCACATTTGCATCATTGGTGGGGAGTGCTACAGCTTCCACCCATTTGTACATGTAGTCTACAGCGACAAGTATGTACTTGTTGCCATATGAACTGACGAAGGGCCCCATGAAGTCGATTCCCCATACATCGAACACTTCGACCTCCTGAATTGGGTTCATGGGCATCTCATGGAGACGGGAAATATTCCCGATTCGCTAGCATTCATCACAGCCCTTTACACATAAATGTGCATCTTTGAACACTGTTGACCAGTAAGAATCCTGCTTCCAGAACTTTTGCGGCTGTCCTGACTCCTCCGAAATATCCACCATATGCTAATGTGTGACATGCCTGCAAAACAGAAGACTGGTCTATCTCGGGGATACATCTCTGGATCATGTTGTCAACACAAATCCTAAACAGATATGGTTCATCCCAATAATAGATGCAGCAATCACGGAAGAACTTTTTCTTTTGCACAGGGGAAAGGTCATAAGAAATTATACTGGTCGCTAGGTAGTTTCCAATGTTTGCATACCATGGCACTTCCTTAAGACTTGTGGCTAGTAGTTGCTCATCTGGAAAGGTTTCCAGAATCTCTTCTACCAGAACCTCTTTTTCAGCTCCTTCCAGTCTCAACAAGTGGTCAGCTACTTGGTTTTTCGTTCCCTTTCGGTCACGAATTTCCAAGTCAAACTCTTGTAGCAGTAGCACCCAACGAATCAGGTGCGGTTTTGACTCTTTCTTCTCGATTAGGTACCTGATAGCAGCACGATTAGTATAGACAATTACCTTCGAGCCTATCAGGTATGATCTGAACTTGTCAAATGCGAACACTATTACCAGCATCTCCTTCTCAGTCACAGTGTAGTTCAGGTGGGCTCCACTCAATATTCTACTTGCATAGTATATTGGGTGCATGATTTTATCTTTCCGCTGCCCAAGCACTGCTCCCACAGCATAGTCACTTGCATCACACATTAGCTCAAAGGGTTGCTCCTAGTGGGGGGAAACAATGATAGGTGTTGTGACCAGTCTCTTCTTCAATTCCTCAAATGCTACCCTGCAATCATTAGAAACACAAAAGAGTGATCTTTTTCAAGAAATTTACACAAGGGGTTAGCAATTTTGGAAAAGTCTTTTATAAATCTCCTATAGAAACCGGCATGCCCGAGGAAACTTCTGATTGCTTTTACGGAAGTGAGTGGTGGAAGCATTGCTATCACGTCGACCTTTGCGCGATCCACCTCAATGCCCTTACTTGACACCAAATGTCCCAAGACTATACCTTCTTGTACCATGAAATGGCACTTCTCCCAGCACCATATTAGTCTTTATACACCTCTTCAATACTCTACTCAAGTTCTTAAGGCAATCATCGAATGAATTCCCCACCACTGAGAAATCATCCATGAAAACCTCCATTATTTCCTCTACCATATTCATGAAGACGACCATCATGCACCTTTAGAATGTGGCAGGTGCATTGCATAGGCCAAACGGCATTCTCCGAAAAGCATAAATCCCATAAGGGCAGGTGAACGGGGTCTTTTCTCTGTCTTCTGGTGCAATAGAGATCTGATTGTACCCTGAGTACCCGTGCAGAAAACAAAAATGGGACCTCCCTGCCAGTCTCTCTAACATCTAATCAATGAATAGAAGTGGGAAGTGGTCTTTCCGAGTAGCCAAGTTCAACTTCCTATAATCCATACAGATTCGCCAACCTGTGACGGTTTGTGTTAAGATTAATTCATTTTTCTCATTTATCACTACCGTCATTCCAACCTTCTTTGGTACACACTGAACTGGTCTAACCTAGTTGCTGTCAGAGATGGGGAATATGATTCCCGCATCTAACCACTTAATAACTTCTTTCTTCACCACTTCATTCATGTTGGAGTTCAGCCTTCTTTGGTGTTCTCTAGAAGGTTTGTGCCCATCTTCCAGTAGAATCTTATGCATACAAAAGGCCGGGATGATCCCCTAGATGTCTGCAATGGTCCACCCAATTGCAGTCTTGCACTCTATCAGTACCTGCAAAAGCTGTTCTGCCTGCACATCTAACAAACTAGATAAGATAATAACAGGTAATGTTAAGTTAGGACCTAAGATACCTGAGATGGGCGGGCAGTGGCTTCAGCTCCAACTTTGGGGGTCTTCTATGGATGGATTAGCCGGAGGAGTTTTTCTTTCTTCGAAGTGCAAGGGCTCAAATTCGAGCTCCCTCTTCCAAAAACCTTTGCCTTCATGAGCAAGTACCCACTCTGCCAATTCTTCTCCATTAGCTTCATCTAGGTTCATGAGACAAGCTGCTAGAGGATCTTGAATGTTCAATGTCTCATCATCCTCTTCCAAAATTACATCCACGACATCTATTAGAGAGCAATTGGCGAATTCACTTGGTCGCCTCATAGATTTCTGCACGTTGAATGTTATCTCTTCATCATTAATCTCATCTTGAGCTCTCCTGTTTCACAGTCAATTAGAGATCTCCCAGTGGCTAAGAATGGTCTTCCCAAAATTATGGGAATTTCCTCATCAACCCGACAATCAAGAATGACAAAATCTGCTGGGAATACAAACTTCCCAACATGCACCAACACATCATCTAGAATATCAGAGGGTCTCTTTACTGTCCTATCAGCCAGCTGCAATAACATGGACGTGGGTCTAGCTCTCCCAATCCCGAGCCTTTTATAGATAGCTAGGGGCATAAGATTTATGTTTGCCCCGAAAGCACACATTGTCTTAGCAAATACAAAGTTACCTATAGTGCAAGGAATTGTGAAACTCCTTGGGTCAAACAGCTTTTCAGCAATGGGTCTCGTCACAACAACACTGCAAGTCTGAGTTAGTGTAACTGTGGCCAATTCTTAGAAGTCAAAATTGCAGGGCATCAAGTCCTTCATCATTTTCGCATATCCAGGCATCTTCTTTAAAGCATCAATCGATGGAATGTTTACCTGAATTTGCTTCAACATCTCCAAGAATTTTTTGTATTGCTCATCTTTCTGATATTTGGCCAGTCTATGTGGGAATGGTGCTGGAGGTCGTTTCTTCCCTGTGATCTAAATATTTTCTTGTTCAAGTACTGCCTCCACTATCGGTTCCTGTGCTCCCTCAGTCTCTTTCACAACCTTTTTTTCTTTGTTAGAATCTTCTTGAGCATGTTTTACCGTCACCTCAGTCAACCCCTGCTGAATCATCTACCTCAATGGGCACAAGCACAAGTGTCTCGGTAGGTCTGCTTTCGCGAGCAATCTCTTGCTCTAGGTCTCTACCATTTTGTAGACTCACTTCCATTAGTTGTTTTAGGCCCTGCTCCGTTGGATTAATCTGTGTGTCTGCAGGTAACGTCCCCTGAGGACAATTATTCAAAGCCATCGAAATCTGACCCAATTGGATCTCAATATTCTTTATAGCTGACTTATGTGAGTCTACTCTCTCAGTTACTTTCCTAATGGACCCAATCAATTGTTGCATCATTCCCTCGAGTCTAGAAAACCCATCTTCGTGTCTCCCAGTGTGTTGTTGTTGAGGTGGATGATAAGCCTACTGCTGATTCTGATGGTTGTAGCCTGTTGCCTTTGGTAAGGCGCCACTTGACCTTGAGGTCGCATGGCCCCAATATTGTTGCTATTGTTGTGCTGCTACGGGGCTGGCCTGTATTGTTGATTCTGCTGACCCCAGTTCTGACCACATGGTCTCTGTCCCCCATAGTTGGACACATAATTCATATTTTCCTGATATTGTTGGTGATCACCATCCGCACTCCACGAGGAACCATATGGCTGATTAATGCAAGATGTACATAAACCCCCATTAGTTGCATCAACAATGAGTACCTGCTGTTTCTGGCCTAATTCATCAACCTTTTTGGTGAGGATGCTCATTTGTGTCATTAGCGTGGCCATATTTTCAGCTAGGGAGTTAGCTGGCTCTAAGGCCACCGAGTGAACCACATGAGTGATTAGAGCGTTCTTGGTCGTCCATCCCAAGTTTTGTGCCATCTTGTCAAGTAAGATTTTGCTCTCCCTGAATGTTTTACTCAAGAATGTTCCACCTGCTGAAGCATCAACATTAGCTTTCAAGCTATCTACCAGACTCATGTAGAACCTTTGCCCCAACATCTGCTCCGGAATCCCATGGTGTGGACATAAAACCAGCAGCCTTTTGAACCTTTCCCAAGTCTCTTGCAATGTTTCTGTTTGTTTCTACCTGAAGCTCAAGATCTCATTAATTTGCTGAGCAGTCTTGTTGGGTGGTTGAAATTTGTTCACAAATTGCTTGACTAATTCCTTCCAAGTAGTGATGGAATTTATGGGGAGTGAATTAAGCCAAGTTTGTGCTGCTTCCGTCATAGAGAATGGAAACAACAATACCCTTATTGCTTCCGGTGTCACATTATGCTGTCTTTGTGTGGCACAGATTGACAGGAAGTTCTTTAGATGATGTTGAGGATCTTAGATGTATGACCTTGAGAATAGTCCCTTGTTTTGCAACAAATGCAACATGTTATTTGTAATCTGGAATGAGTCAGCTTGTATCTGCAGGACTACAATTGTGGTTGCTAAGTTGTCCGTTGTGGGTTGTGCCCAATCATACGAAGCAGCCTCTGGCACAAGAGGCACCACCACCTGCTCATCCGGGTCATTCACGTTATCCCCATTGTCCATGTTGTTTACTTGGTCCGCCATGTCTGGTTCAATTTGTTCAGTCAAGT